CACTGTTCGCCAAATACTTCGCATGACACTTTCTAGTTCCTCCTGGTTAGCCAAATGATGCTCCAATAAAATTCAATCAAACAAAGGTCGCCTCGTAGGATTTTCTGTCATATGGATGGTCGCCCCATCCTCTTCACCAAGTTGGAGATCAGGACACAACTTCACAAGGGCATCCTTACCCATAAAAGAAACTGAAGAAATTCGAGAGAACCACACTAAAAGACGCCAACTGATATTGGATCCAACCACACCTTGCGATGACTTATTTCCACCTCTGGCATTCATGGAGAGAGAATGCTAGAGAGAAAAACTTCTTGTTAGTGAAATTTCAAGCTTTGCACTGAGTTTCTCTAACTCATCAGATCATCCTTACATCAATCTGCCCACACACAATAACATATCAATTATAATTAAGCTGGCAAAACATACGTTTTATCCATACATTTTATAGGATCAACAATTTATTACCCCTTTATTATCTACACATTTTGTACTATTCACAACTTATAAACATAAAAGAGCATATCAAACAAGCATGATGAGTTTTTCTTAAATTCTTTTTATTGATTTTTTCCATTCAAGTAAAATCATCAGAGTAATTATTAGTAATAGAAAATCAAATACAAATGGAGGAAGGGATTAAGTTGAAAGTTATCCCGTTCAATTTTTTTAGAGTTGTTGTCCACAATATAATCTTTTCCAAAATAGTGATACAAAGAGTCATCATTTGGGGTGATACATTAACTCTTGTCCCTCAATATTTTTTGCATTATCACATCCAATAAATTTAATTCCTTCTCAAAAGATGAACTCCCAAATTTATTTTTTCCAAATGGTAACACGCAAAGTCATCAAATCTGCCTATAAGTGTGACGTCCTCCTTAACAAGTGTTTTTCCGTCACTAGTTACATAATCAACGGATGATATGTTATCTAGGACACAAGAAAATAATCTTAAGGCTTTCAATATGGACAAGTAATAAGCTTGTCTTTTCAGACCAAGGATTGATCAAGTAGTAAGAACGAAGCCTTACCAAGTCAATCATCTAGGTTCGAGTCTCCAATTCGTCTTTTTAAATGTGTTTAGGTAAGTTTTTTTTTTTTACCATAAATTGTATGTTATGGTGACCTTAACTTTTTAATTATTTATTTAATTAATAGCACCTGATTTTTGAAAAAAAAAAATATTATAGGATTGTCATATTTGAAAGTGTATTTTTAAAGGTTGGTAGTTATTTATTTTTCTTTGACAAGATGATGGAAAAATTACACAAATAGGCCATAAATATAGTAGCAGACTGAAAAATCAGGTAAATACATAATTTTTTTAAAATAGGTGTATCTTAAAATAGTTAGAATAATTTTATTATGAAGGCTTCCATTTGATTGCGAATTTTATGAGTAAAATGAATAG